CACCCGCCGTGGCCCCGCTCCCCATGCCGGGGTGGGCACACGGGGGGATGCCCATGGACATCAACACGTGAGTGGGTGCCCAAGGTCATACACACGTGGGTGGATGCCCATGGCCATCGACACATGGGTGGGTGCCCACGCCTGTGCACGTGTGGTGGGTGCTCATGAACATGCGGGTGCGCGCCCATGGACCTCGACAGGTGGGTGTGTGGACAAGAACGTGCCATGGGTGTGTGTCCATGGCCATCGACATGTGCGTGGGTGCCCGTGCACATCTAGGGGTGCCTAAGGATGTGCACACATGGGTAGGTGACTGTGGACATCAACGCATGGGTGGGTGGCCAAGGACATGCACACATGGGTGGGTGCCCATGGACTTGCACACGGTGGTGGGTGTCCATGCCTGTGCACATGTGGGTGGGTGCCCATGGACCTCAACACGTGGGTGGGTGGACAAGGACGTACCCACATGGGTGGGTGCCCATGGATACGTACACATGGGTGGGTGCCCGTGAACATCTGGGGGTGCCCAAGGACATGCTCACATGGGTAGGTGCCCGTGGACATCAACACATGGGTGGGTGCCCAAGGACATGCACATGTGGGTGGGTGCCATGACCATCGACACGTGGGTAGGTGCTCATGCCCATGCCCACATGGGTGGGTGCCCAAGGACATGCACATGTGGGTGGGTGCCATGACCATCGACACGTGGGTGGGTGCCCATGCATACATACACGTGGGTGGGTGCCCATGGACATCTGGGGGTGCCCAAGGACATGCCCACGTGGGTTGGTGCCCGTGGACATCAACACATGGGTGGGTGGCCAAGGACATACACATGTGGGTGGGTGCCATGACCATCGACACGTGGGTGGGTGCTCATGCCCATGCCCACATGAGTGGGTGCCCATGCATACATACACGTGGGTGGGTGCCCATGGACATCTGGGGGTGCCCAAGGACATGCCCACGTGGGTTGGTGCCCATGGACATCAACACATGGGTGGGTGCCCAAGGACATACACATGTGGGTGGGTGCCATGACCATCGACACGTGGGTGGGTGCTCATGCCCATGCCCACGTGGGTGGGTGCCTGTGGACATCGACACGTGGGTGGGTGCCCGTGCCCACGCGTCCTCGGTGGGTGCCGTGCGGAGCCCCGTGCTCACCTCGAAGGCTTGCTGGGCGCTGGCGTCGTGCTGGTCCCCCCGCTTCCAGGGCCGCTGGGGCTCGGGGAAGCGGCTGCCCT